GAGTACGTCAAACATGGAACCAAGCGGGGCGTCGTCTTCTACGCGCTGAAGAGCACCGATGGCGACAGCACGGTGTGGAAGCTTGCTTCGTGGGAGGAGCGTTCGGGCCAGTGGGACATCAACGACGGGAAGTGGGGGCAGCAGTTCCCGAACCTGAGCGCCGCTGACGGGCAGGCGGTCTTGGAGGGGCTGTGACCGAGGCGAGGGCGCGCCGTTGCGACGGAGGGCGGGATGACGACCTCGCTGCCGGAAACTGCCCGTGCGGTGAGCGGTTTGCCGGTCCTCTGTTGGAATGCGTGGAATGCGCTAATCCGTAGTTTAGAGCCCCACCTGCAGGAGCTACAGAGATACTGCGGCAAGGGATGCAGTAACATGGCTGTAGGCTTTCAGGAGGTCTTGCATTGGCCAACAACGGAAGAATGGTTACACAATCCTTTGATACCGTTCTGGGAGCTCCGCCGCGACAGGGGCTCCAAGGTTGCCATCATGTGGCCTACATGTCTGTCCCACTTACAACGGGGGCAATGGAAGTCTCGGGAACGATTTGGGAGTGCGTGGTTCGGATGTTTCCAGATTGATGTGCTTTATTTGCCGCGGGTGGATCTGGGCCTCGACGAGTGCACTACTCAGTTCTACTCATACAAGGAATTCTCGGCGGCGAGGAGGAGGGAGCATTTGGGGAGCACGGGGAGGAGGAGTGGGAGAAGAGAATGGGGGAGGCACCAATCCGCGCGCGAACGAATACTTGCACCATATTTTGATGGGGGACTTCAACGTACAACTACCACACGTGAAGGGTGTCTCTGATTACCGTCCTGCGACGCGTTGGGGGAACGGGGAGGTGGGAGCTCCGCAGAGGTTGATTTTGGAACACCTGGTACGGCATAAGCTCACTGTCGCGACGTCGAGCCTGAAATCGGGCAATGCACATTATACACATCATAACCAGAATGGGGGGAAGACGACGATCGATGTGGTAGCTACTAGTTCTAGGTTGGCAGCGACGGCGTATGTGTTGAACCAGAGAGAGTGGGTACATGAAGGCGTCCGCAGGGATCTCTGCCCCCTGTTGGCGGTTATCGAGGTTCCCCCACGGCTTTCGGTAGCCAGCCAAGCGCGTCGGAAAACGTGGACTGGATGGCAGCCTGTGGACAGGGGAGCTTCTCACAAATATATGTCGGTAGCGGAGGATGTGTGTGCGATGGCGGTGTGTCGGGGCCTGGGGGATCTTGGCGACTTTGGTGAAGGTGCACCATTCGACACATGCGAGCCGCAGGCGGGATATAATGGATAAACCAACGGACGTTGTGGAGGCCGAAAGGCAATTCCACCAGACGACAGGCGGTGACGTGAACCGTGCGGCAGACTGCGGGCGTGGAAACGGGCGCGGTTTCGGGTGCAGCTACCAGGCAAAACGCACAGATCTAAGCGCGCGGGCGTGCAGATCGATTACTTACTCACGGGGGAGGGGGAGAAGAAATACGATCGACAACGATGGGGGACTATTGTGGCTACGCATTGTAGTGCAAAGTACACGGGCGAGGGGGGGACGCGGGGGGCACAATTAGAGCGCGCACACGCGTACTATACTCAGGCGTGTGACATGCAGCGGCGGGGGGAGGGCATGCCGCAACTTACTATTACGCATGTGTTGCAAGCGCGGGCTACACTTAAATCTGGGGCGCCCCCCGGGGAGGACGGAATTGCAGCTGAAATGATCAAGATGTTGGGTGTTGCGTGTGTTTATGCTGTGTGTGAGCGTTTTCAGTATAGGATGGCAAACCCGCGCGTGTCGGAGAGGTGCACTCTTGGCAACTTGTGAATATGGCATTCTTACAGGAAGCCCCTGGCACGGCCAACATGGATGAATACAGAGGCGCTGCGTTGTTATCGGTGTTCGGGAAGTGGTGCGTCATGAGTATCATGCAAATTGTACAGGGATGGGAGCAACAGAACGACGGGGTTAGGACATTTCGGGATGGGCTGGGTACTTTTGGGGGATTGCCGGGCGTCTCATGTTCACGCGTCGTTGCACCGACGCGGGCTGTGTTGGCGCGGGGGTTCGAGTGGCCAGAGGTGTCGCCAGCGGTCTTGCTAGTCGGGGATGTCTTGCAGGCGTATGACCACCTCATTCCGAGTCAGGCTGCTCAGGCTATGGCGTCTCGTGGTTTGCATCCGCTTCTCATTGCTAGCCTCCTGAAAGAGGGGGTCAAACTCGACATGCGGCTGAACTTCCCGTACCTGCTTGACCCCCCGGTCATCCCATGCACGGCATGCAAGAAGACAGGGGGCCCTGATGCCACCTTCAAGTGGCAAGCTCTGGCAGAGAAAGTACACGCAACGGTAATCCCCACATGGGTTGCCAAGGGTTTCGGGGTGAATTGCGGTGCAGGCCGGCGGCCATGTTTACATGCATCTTGGATCGATAATTGGATATATGGTGCGACGGATTCGCAGCAACTGCAGGAGATGCTTCAGGATGTGACCAGGGTGATGGTTG